TTATATCAACATATTAGAAAATGTTTACCAGATATTATCAAAGAAATTGATACTAAAAGTGATGAATGCGAAGATAAACTCAAATTACTTGGTACTGAATTACCAAGAGATTAAAAAGACAAAGTCTAATTAGTTTTTAATTTACTTCAAGATTATACAGATGGATTTAAAAATACAATGGATGGAAAATATGATAAAAATGAAGCTACTATTACTGATGAAGAAAAGAAAATTGAACTTACAGGAGGAGCTAAAATTAAATAAATGTTTAACGAATTATATTAAGAATTTGCAGATGAAAAATATCATGTTACTGATTGTTATTTAGATAAAGATATTGAATTGGCTGATCAATTACATTAAGGTGATAGCATTCCTGGATTTCCATCTTTTGATAGTTTTCTCTATTTAATTGTTCCTTAAGTTTAAGCACTCATTAGACCTGCTTAAGATGTTCTAGATCAAATATTTTAATATATGGATGAAATCAGTTAACAAATATTAAGAAAAGTATACGATTCTATTTTATTTAGGTATTTACTAGATTCCCTTCAGTTTTAGATGAAATCTCTGAAATGAGTAGAAAAGTCATTGAATCTCAAAGAGCCAAAGCTGAATAAGTTGTGATCAATTAAATTGAAGCAGAAATGAATTACATCTATACAAATGATGAAGAATACTTAACAACCAAAGCAGATCTTGTATTTAAATAAAACTCTAAGACTCTTGATCCAAAAAAGATATTAGTCAGAGAACTTAGAAATAGAGTAGATCTCTATTATAAAATCTTAATCAGAAATCTTAGAGATAGCATTCCTAAAGTAATATCTCTTTCTAATAATTTTAGTATATTGGGTATTATCTAGTGAAATAAACTTTGGACAAAATGTAATTGGTTTTATATGATCAAATGAATAAAAGTGATAATGTTTTCTAAATGTTAGAAGAAGTAAATGCATTACTATTTATTAATTTTAGCCAGTTTACATCCTCTAAGAAAGATAGCAACTCCAAAAAACGTTGAAAGCATTGAAATAAGCAAAGAAAGTACTTAAATAAGACCCAGAGTATTTATATTATCCATAATGCAAGTCTTTCGAAGGGCCGTGGTTGATTGAACATATTATAACATATTAAAATAATAAGTTAACATATTAAATAAGATTTAAAAATAATTAAAAAAATATTTATTGACCAATGGTGAAAATGAATGTCCTTAATGATTGCCTCCGTTCTATTGTGAACGCTGAAAGGTTGTACTTGTTGTCCTAACTTTTTAAGACAAGGAAGAAAGCAAGTGCTTATTAGACCCACATCCAAATTAGTTGTGAAATTCTTATAAGTTATGCAAAGACATGGCTACATTGGCGAATTTGAAATAGTTGATGATCATAGAAGTGGCAAAATTGTTGTTGAATTATTGGGTATCCAATAATCATTAAATTCTAGGACGCATTAATAAATGTGGTGTAATCTCTCCTAGATATGATGTTACATTAGGAGAATTTGAAAGATGGGCTAACAACATTTTACCTGCTAGACAATTTGGTTGTGTAGTCCTTACAACTAATGTTGGAATCCTTACACATGAAGAAGCCAGATAAAGACATATTGGAGGTAAAATCCTTGGTTTCTTCTATTGATATCATTATAAACACGTAGTACAATAAATATTTATGTATTTATCAACCCAATAGGATATAAATAAATTGTTCATTTATAAATTCTATATTTTTAAACTTATTAAAAATCTCTTTAGTCATTTGCTAAAAATTGAATAATATAATTATTATTCAATGCAGTTGAAGCAAAAACAAAATAACTTATAGAATTTAATCATTTATTCTTCTGATTTCTAAGATTATTATTTATTTATTATTATTTTGATATTGAATATACTATTATAAATATATAGTTTCTGATCGAAAAATGTATAATATTATTTGATGTATAAAATTCTGAAATCAAATAATTAAAACTATTAGGTTAACATTAATTGTAAGAATCTATAAAATAAAAATGTATTTATTCTAATAAATTTAGCTTTATTGAAGAAACTTTTTAAATAATAATAATTTTAATGTTTGTTGGTTTTTCATTATTTTCCTTTTCTATTTTGAACTGGAGCTTGATTACTAACTGCATGTTCTTCAATAAGGGAATCACCTACATATTCATTAACTCTCTTTTTCAAATATTCATTAACTGTTGCTATCTTTTCTCTATAAATTAATAGAGATTCCTCTAATAATTAGTTTTCTTCGTGTCTCTTTTCTTTTTCAGAATTGTACAACTTCTTCTTATAATTGTATTCCTCTATAAAAAAATATGTTAATTAATTATTACCTTATGTTAAACTTAAGATTCTCATACTCTATTCTTAGAGTTCCTTCTTTTTAGTTAAAATATCTGAAGCCAATTCCTTATCATTTTAAAGTGAATTTAAGAATTTAGCTTTTGCATCGTATTCTTATTTAAGAGATTCTTATTCAGCAAGTAAATTGGTCTTGAAATCAGCAAAATCATTGGCAGATAAAATTTCTTATTCTTCTAAACTTTTGATTGTTTCTCTTAATTTTTCAATTAATTATTGAATGATTCCAACAACATCTTTTTCTACTAATGAAGCTAATTATTCTCCATTACCATGTGATCCTTAAATTAATAAATTGAAATTTACTTGTTTATGCAAATGAAGTTTATTCTTCACCTAATTTAACAAAATCTTAAACAGCTTACTCTTCAAACAAGTTTGCATATTTACTCAATTTTTCTGCATAATCTCCAATGTGATTCTTTTCTACAAATGTACTTTATTTGCTTTAAGCATCACTTCTAACCCAATCAAGAACTGAAAGAGCATTTTTATATTCTCTAAGAGTATCAATGAAAAGAGCATTGGCTTCACATCTTTATTCAGCCAAATTTTCAAGTTTGACCTCATTTGCCTTATATCGCTTGTTATTCCAATTCAAATAATCAGTGGTTTATTGGATCTTAAGACTTAATGTTTTTAAGATAAATAAATACTCGACAGCTTCTAAGTCTTATTGGGCTGCAGCAGCACTCTTTGAATTTACATTTACAATTCCTGAGAACTCATTGATGTCATTCAAAATGGCTGATTCAAAACGTTAGAAGGTAAGGTCTGCTTTATCTTGGGCTTCAACATTAGCACCTTATAAGTCTTCAAGCAAAGTTAGCACAGATTGAATGGCATCTTGAGAACTTAAGACATTTGTTTTAGAACTAAGTAAATTCAAAAAGTCTGTATTGATCTTCTTGGGGCTGCAAAATACACTCTAACTTAATAGGAGAATGACTAACACTCCTGAAATACTCTTCATTCTTTTTCAATAATAATAATATTTATATAAATACCGTTTTTATACATTAATATACTTGATCATTAGAGAACACAATCTAACTTCTACAAAATTTAAATTTTCAATAAATGGAGTTCATAGTGTATAGAAGAGATTCGACTTAGTGATTAAATGTAGAGGATTAAAATTTGAATGTATTCCAGCATATTTTAAATGATAAAATGATAAATTTCTATATTTATATTAAATTGATTAAGAGAGTATTGCAATGTATTGATTCTAAATATAATTCAATAAGGAAATCTAATAGAAATTAAATTAAAATAAAAGGAATAATGATTTTTATTAAACAAATCTTATTGAAAAATTTAGAGGATATGTGTTAATATAATTCTAGATAGTAGAAATCTTAACTTAATTTAATAATTCTTTGATAATTTGTTGTTGTATTATTCAAATATCAGGGAGGGGTTGATTACAACCGGACCATTTGTTCATTACCTTCTTACCATCCTTAATGTCAAACCACAAATCTCCAATAATACCAATATCTCTCAAGAATCTACCTCCTGGAGTGTGATAATCTTAATAAGTATCAGTATCATCAGTATCCTAGATATATAAATCATAAGAATTACTTCGCTATCAGGGAAATTGAGAGGGGGTGGATGAGTGATTCTCCAGTGATCTTCATCTGGATATCTTTGGTAAAGGAATTCAGCCCCTAAAAAGAATATTATAGATAATATTACAGAAATAGACAAATGGCATAGTAGCAATTAAAGCCCATGGCCACATTGGTCCTCTTTTTCTGAAATGCTATGTTCTGAAGCTCTCAGTTTAGAAATCACAATCTTCAGATTCATAATCAAATTCATGATTAACATCAGCATCTTAATCTTATTAGGCTGCAGTCAAATGTTAGATTGGTTGTCCTACTTATTTGTTTTCTGGTTTTAATAGAAGTGATGGATTGTATAGATGATCTTAAGGTAAGGCTTCAGATGGATTGAAATGAACAAGTTTTCCTTCAAATGGCCATACGTATGTTTTTGGATCTGGACAACCAACATGTTTAGTTGGAATAATATAGTCTGGATTGTATTTTGGATCATCTCTCCAATCATAAGGCTTACCATGAGCTTCATTATAATTGACACCTGGATAATACATATAACCAGGACCCTCTAAGATTTAATAATGAATGATTACACTCAAAATAAGTATACAAATTCTTGTGATCCAAATGTTGAGTAATTGTATTGTATTCAACCTTAGGTCTGCCTCTTCCATGAGGTACTCCATGTCCATGATCTCCATGTCCATGACCATGATCTCCATGATCACCATGATCTCCATGATCTCCATGATCATCATGATGTGCAAAAGGATTAGGTACTTTAGTAGAGTTAGCAAATGTTTGAATTGTGACTTATCTAAGTTGATTCTTCAATCCTCTAGATAAATGAATCATTTAATTTTAATTATACAAATTCAGAATATCTTTATTATCTGTTAGATGAATTCAAACAATAGTACGGTTTCGCATTTGTCTGAAAATTACGAAACCAAATATTACATTAATGATTAAGAGAAAGAAAATAAGAATATATAAATACCAACATTTAAATAATACTATGAACTTAATAATACGACAACTTTGAATACAATCACATAAAAATTAACTAATACCATATGTGAAATTTAAGAAACTGAAAATTCATTATATGAAACATTATAGAAAACTGAGATTACAGAAGAATAAAAACAACAGATTAAAATAAGAATAATAAAATTATAAATGTTATAAGTTATAGCATAGTTTAAGACAGAAACTAAATCAAATTTATCTAAAATATAAAGAGAATTAAGAGAAATATAAAACTATATTCTAAATGAATTACTCCAATTTTGATTACTTCATATTACATATAAAGTTAATAAATTTTCATTTAGTAGTAAATGCATATTTTGATGATCTCAAATCAACTGCTGATAATTTACTAGCACTTAATCTCAATTATTTTTTATATTTTTCCTTACTTTCAACCAATTATTTAGATTATCTATAATATTTCTAATGACTTAAGAATCTTGCTTAATCTATTGGGAAATTACTTAACAAATCCTTCTATTTAATAATCTCATCAGGTTTATGAATAGCTAACATTTCTGAAAACTTTAAATCTGCTTTAGGATTTATTTTTTTAAAGATTTCATCAGTCTTATCAATATCTGGTTGATTTAATAGATCTGATTCACATTTATCAATAGCTTTACTATATTATTCTCTAAAATAACCTACAACATCATCAAAAGCCTATTTTAAATATTTTTACCTTTAATGATTGACTACTACTTCACCTTCTCTTTATAATTTTTCTTTCTCTTCAATTTCTCTTAATACTAATTATTTATAATCTGGATTAATTAAAGATATCTCTTTTAATATCATTTCATCCCATTCTATTTTTCTCACATCTATAAATTATAATTATCCAGCATCTATTATATATAGATTATCAAAATCATCCTTAGCAAAATCCATTCTTAATTTCATTATTTTTCTTTAATGATATGCTTCAAAAAAATGAACAATTTAATACATATGATAACTAAAAATATAATAGATAATTTACTATAAATATTATTAAATATTTTTCTTCTTCAATTCCTTTAAATAAATTTCATGTTGTCTGATATGATTACCAGTTTAAAAATTAGGATTATTTATTTAACAAATTTATTCTAAGGCTTTATCAAATTGCTCTTAATATTTAATATCATCTTTAATATATGTGATACGTTGATATCTAGT